GGCTGTAGTTGCCAGAGTGAAATATCTGGGATCAAGTCACAGCGTGGGAGATGAATCATTTTCTTATTATTTCATTTCCAGTAGTGTCTTAGCATCTTCTTCACCACATATAAAGCAAAGCTAGGTGATAGCTACTCAGAGGGTGGGAATGAGAGTAAGGGTCTCTTGAGCCCAGGAGTTCAGGACCAGCCTGGGGAACCGAGAGAAACCCTGTCTCTAGAAAGAATTTTTTTCCCCCCTTGGTGACGGGGTCTTGCTCTGTTGCCTGAAGTGCAGTGGCATGATCATAGCTCACTGTAAACTTGGGATCCTGGGCTCAGCTAATCCTCTTGCCTCGGTCTCCTAAGTGGCTGGGACTATAGTCTTGGGCACCATTACACCTGGTTAATTTTGTTTTTTGTAGAGGTGGTGTCTTGCTATATTGCCCAAGTTGGTTTTGAACTGGGTTCAAGTGCTTCTCCTACCTTGGCCTCTCAAATTGCTGGGATTATAGGAGTGAGCCAGTGCATGAGGCCAAAAAAAAAAAAAAAAAAAAAACTCTTGCAAAAATGTTTGTATTACCCATGTTCAAATGATAAAAAATATTTTACCAATTAAAAAAAAAAAGCAAAGCTAGGTGAAATGCGAGCTGGGATCTGTTCCCTAGTGAGGGCACCGCCTAACAAATGCCAGCCTTGCCTGAGTTCTGAGCCTTACACTTATGGAATGTGTGACTAGACCATAACAACAGAAACCCAGAATTAACTTCTTCAATACAGAAGAGTCTTGCCATATACAGTGTTCAAAAAGAGTTATCTGACATAATTTTGGAAACATGACACAAGCGAGTGGTATAATAGCCCGGGGAAAAGGGAACACTGAGCTTCCTCTTAAACTCCAGAAGAGAAACATCAGCCTTTTAACTTGTGATAGAAAGAATCACAGTAATTCTGGTTTCTTTCTTGAAGAGAAACATCAGCCTTCTAACTTGTGATAGAAATAATCGCAATAATTCTGGTTTTCTAACTTATGATAGAAATAATCACAATAATTCTGGTTTCTTTCTTCTGTTCTTCACAATGTCTTTTATAAGTTTTCTCCTCTTAATAAACTTCAGGTCTGTACCCATCATACTTTCCAGCAGATGACCTTGTCTCATTTTCACAGTAAAGAGAAGTCACATACAAGAACTTCCTTCTTTTTTAATGGCTGCATAGTATTCCATGGTATACATAGAACACAGTTTGTTGATCCATTCATGGGTTGATGGACATTTGGGTTGCTTCCACGACTTGACAATTATAAATTGAGCCACAATAAACATTCTAGTACAGATGTCTTTGTGGTAAAATGATTTTTGTTCTTCTGGGTAGATACCTAGTAATGGGATTGCAGGATCAAATGGAAGGTCAACTTTTAGTTCTTTGAAGATTCTCCATACTTCTTTCAGTCTTTTATGTTTACTTGGATAGAGCTGAAACCCATTCTTCTCAGATACTTTACTTCTCAGTAAAGTATCACAAGAATGGAAAAATATCCAATGTACTCAATACTAATATGAAACCAATATATAAACGATTACATGCTCATATGAACAATAAAACACAAATATAGTCTAGTACAGGGGCAGGGGAAGGAGGGAGGGGAGGGAAGGGGAGGGTGGAGGAAGGAGGAGGATTGACAGAAGGAGGGTGGGCCTGTGGTGGGATCTCACCTACTGTGCACATTGTGAGGGTATATAACATGCCCTGGGTGAGGGACTCTTACAACTGGAACTTTA